TCCACTGATCTTAGAGCCTCATTTCAAGCCCTAATTCCCTTGGTGGTGCATGCTTGAGCTTAGAGGTGATTTTGAAGGGTTCTTAGTATCATTTCAAGGAAATGGATCTTGGTGTAGCCTTGGGGTTATAGATCCAAAATCTTCACACTCATGGGAATCTTTAGGAGGTAAAAAGTTCTTATCTTGACTTCTACTTATGCTAGTTTGAGTTTAGGGCAATATTAAGGGATTTTATGGTGTATTAAGTTCTCCTTTTGAGTTTGAGTCACTCCAGGAGCTTGGAGTGAAAGATCTTGCCTCTTCTGATGTTATTAGTTCATAAACATGCTTACTTGATGTTTAAGAATGGTCCATACATGTTCTAGTTGGATTAGAATGGATCTTAATGGATTAAGATGGTTGTTGGGTCCCAATAAGTCATGCAAAAGCATAAAGGTGTCGACTTTATACATTAAGAGATTTATTTTGAGGTTCTCTGAAGTTTGGGTGCAAAGGTCTTAATTGGTTAAGCTATAAAGTCAGTTTTGGAATAAGCTAGATTACGCCCATCGTACCAAGTTGAAGTCGCGATCTGGAGTTGTCGAGTACGCCCAATGTACTGAGCGTACGCCCAACATACAACGTTCTGCCGGGCGTTGGGTTTGATGTGTTTTTGGGCTTCACATCTTGGGCCACTTCTTTAGACTAGTTGCTTTGGGCCTTTTAGGCCATCTAAAATCAACTTTTGGGCTAAGTGAATTATTAGGCTTAGGATAAGGCCATATGGGGGTTGGGCCCAATTTGGAAAATTGGGCATTAGTGTACCTTTGTGGATCTTTTGGTTTTGGGTCATAGTTTTGGTTTAGGTTGGGCCAGGGGTAAATGGGTCATTTTACCCCAAGTATTGATTATTGACCATAGATTGGAACCCAAATGCTAATTGGGTGTTATTTTGTTCTAATAGCTCGGGGGAGTCGTAAGGGCAACAACTAGGGATTTCTTTCTATGAGCTTCAACATTCGAGGTGAGCCTCCTCACAGTTCTATGGGTCGAATGCCCTAATGCCGACCCATTTGGTTTATGTATCATAGGAAGACCCGAGGGGTGACCCTTGGCCCTTTGTATGAAAGACCCAAAGTTTTTTGGCCCCCAACCTGGCAAAGAACACCATGATACGACTCGTGGCATTATAAAAAAGACTGTGGTTGACACATAACACTTTTTATTGATTAGTGGATATGTATGATGTGTATGGCTTGTTGATATGTATAATATGTGGTATTTGGGAAACTCACTAAGTTTTGTGCTTACAGTTTGTGGTTTATGGTTTCAGGTATCTCTAGTTCGAAAACGAAGGGCCCGACTTGATCGCAACGTATACACTTGAGTTTTTCCGCGACTCATGATTTTGGGATTTACTATGATGATTGTTTTATTCTGGAATACTTTAAATGTTTGAATAAATGATAATGGATGTTTGAATTTATATATAAAAATGAAACATTTTACCCATGATTTTTGGGATGTTACAATTTACTTAAACATGTTCTATTCAATACAAATAAGAGAATAACACGACATGATATTCTTAAACAAATAAAGGAAGCAAAACCAAGTCAAGATCATACAAATCGACCCTTTTTGTGCCAAAGATCTTAGCTACCATATCTATAGGAATTGGAGTACCATGCATCTCTTTTCCATTTCCATTCGAGAGTTCTTATGTGTTCGCATAACCGGCCTAAAATGGGTTATACTTTCAGCGTATCTTGTAATGTTGCAACTTGCTATAAAACTATTTCTTTATGTACATACAATGGTGACAATTAATCAACAACCCTCCATAAGAATGTCACCATGATTGGAAGCTTACCTGAAAAGGTTGCTAGAAGTTACGCTCTCCCAAAGACTTAATAACATATGTTTAATTATATAATAATACAAAATAATAGGTGTAATTTTATATGTATTCCCTCCCCCAAAATTGTTTCGTGTACCTCATTTGTGAGAGGATTAGTGTCCGGGTACCTCATGATTTGATAATTTATATGGATGAAAAGGATACATATAATAACATTGAATAATAATCCTGTGTTTTAACACTTGGTAACACAACCAATAATTAAAAGGGCGCAAAGAATAAAATGTTGAATCAAAAGAACATGATAAATGTTCAACTCTCTACTGCATTCTCAGACTCTCAATGTGTGCATTTAAGCTGGTAGGAGTAGGGGTCACTAGGACCCTCCTTAGCACAAGCCAAACACCAACCCCTAGCATGTGCTAAGGGAGGTGCTAAACAATACTCGCTACCATTTTAACGAGAGAGAGAGAGAGAGAGAGAGAGAGAGAGAGAGAGAGAGAGAGAGAGATCTGGTTTGCTTGTGATTGGTCATTTTCTTGGTTTTTTCTTGTTCCTTTTTTTTGAATCAGGCCTTTTGAGTGGTTCCTTATTCATTTGACTTTTTAAAATTTTTTAAAAATTTTTTTTTAATTATAAATCCATGGTACATGAAAGCTTAGGTGGAATCTAAAAATATGATGTGATAACATGCTTAACATGTGTTAAACATGCTACAACTTCCTATAATCTTAGTAGACCTGGCAATGAGACGAGTTTGGAGTGAATCAACATTAATCCAAACCCATTTAACAAATTTCAAAATCTAATCAAAACTCGCTTCGTAACCCGCAGAGTTTTAAGTAATCAAACCCATATCCTTATCCACCGAATCAATAGATATCCAAACTTACCCCATAACTCTAGGTTTTTTGAATAATCAAACAAAAATGTTTATTTAGAAAACGCATTACATACTCGAGCACTTTCGTTTGAAATTAAGTTCACTATTGTAGTAACTTCCGATTGAATTTTGAATGTCTAATGCGGTGATAGAATAACAATTGCAAACTTTATTGTGGTTGATAATGACTTTATTGATTTATAACTGAAATTAGTAATTACTTGATGAAATATTAATGAAATAATATATTGATTATTGTAAATAAACCATCTAGAAAAGTTGATTAATCGAGTTCTATGTAAAAATATCTTGACCTTTGGCTTTTTCCTTTTGGGCTTTCGATTACTATTAAAATTAAATTTTAGATATGATAAAATATAAACATATATTTCTAAAATTTATACGCGGCAGGTTATAAAATAGATCAGATTGATGATGATTTATACCCGACCCTTTTAATAAAAAGGTTAGCAGGTACGAATCGTTAACGGGTAAACGAATCAAAAGTTATACTCGAAACCCATATAATTCTTAAGGGTTTAGATCAGATCAATATCAAAACCCGCTTGACTGACCTAAACCTTAGTGTGTGTACATTCGATTAAGACAAAACTATCCGCTTGACTGGCCTAAACCTTAGTGTGTGTACATTTGATTAAGACAAAACTATTGCTTATAGAGGCTTACAAAGGATAATGAAATAAGAAAGGAAAAGTCTTCATGACTAAATCAAACTAACTGATTATCTTCGTTAACCTAAAGATCACAAATATATATCCCAAAAGACTAGCTGCCATCTTTCCATTGGTCGATCTACATTGGGGACCACAAAAAAAAGTTAATTAAATATATATATATATATATATATATATATATATATTTAAAATAATATATTGGACCCTTCAAAAGAAAAATTTTCTTTTTGTACCTTCTTCGAAATTATTTGGATCCGTCCCTACATCTATGCCCATTATTTATTTCCAAAAATGACAGATGAAGAAACAATAACTTGGTTTAGGAGAAGCCACGTAATGCTAAATTAATTGTATAAGCAAGGTGATGAATGGTGTTTTCCCATGTACCAAGTTTGCAAGCAAAGCAAACTAAAGATAAGATAAACAAGAGCTTTTACATATATAGAAACTAAACAAAATACCAACTTAACAAAACATAACATAGCAAACATAACGCATAGAGCCATTATTACAAACTACAATTATTTTAAAAAAAGATGATAGCGGTTCAAAGTTCCTCCTCGAATACAGTTGACATCTCATGCACCAACAGGGTACATATCAAGTGGTAAACGGGGAGCGATAAGGACCTCAAGTGGGGTTGCTTTGCAA